GCGCCTCGGATGAACGGGCCGGGAAAGAGGGGGCGTGGCCGCCGCCGCTGCTCAGGCTCCGGGCGCCTGAGGGTTGGTTCCCCGCCGCGCCTGCGCAGGACGGTCCCGCGGCCCTAACCCTCTTGCCTTCCCGTGTTACTGCGCAGGCGCGGGGTGTTGGCAAACGTGTGGCTTCGAGAGATAGGGAGAAATTTGATGGGTGTGTGTTCTCTCTGGAGGTGACGTCCAATTGCTCCTAGAAAGCTATGGAGAAAGCCCAAATTGCAAAAATTAAAACGCAGCAAGCGCAGAAGAGTTGCACCAATATACATTATTTGGTTTGCGATGCTGAGCTGCCGAGAATGGAGAGAAATATAATTGCAGTATATAAAGATGTTCATTGGTTGCAAAGATAGTGAGAAGTTACTGTCATATAGTCATCTATTTAAAAAAATAATAATGAAATGCACTCTTTTTATAGTCACTCCCAGATGACTGGATCATTACCATCATTTGCAAAAGAATAACAAAGCAGACCCTGGAACATACACATAATGCATTTGTCATGAAGAAACATGGGGGTAAGGAAGTCACTGAGTTTTTATCTCCCATCAGCTTCTCATTTTGGAAATAAACAGGTGTTCTTACTCTCCAGTCCTTTACATCTATATATTAGTTCTATTCACTCCGGCCACCACACAACTAAAGGAGCCAATGCAGAGTTCTGGCTTTAGTTGGGCTGCACACTTTTATGTATTTGTCAAATAGATAGTTCAGTAGATTTCAGCTACGAGCAAACCAGCTAGGCATCCTTTCCAGTCCTGAGTTTGTATTAAATGCAGAACTTATTAACAGCTTCACAGGAAGATAAGAGTTTTAGGCAATTTAATATGTTGGCTTGTTCTGAAACAGAACTAGCTAATTAGGAAAGCAAGGCTAATGTTTGGAGGCAAAATGTTTTATGTGGCAGCCAGCTTGGCATGTCAGGTTACAGTCACTCAAACTGTGCCATTGCATGCAAGGTATTATTTCATTTTGGATTTAGATCATTATATTCAGATAAGCATTGTTTTCAAAGGATTATGTTGTGTAAAAAAAAGTTGATACAGAACAGGTTACCCACCTGTAATTGTAGTTCTTCGAGTGGACCTCTGTGATTCATACCCTGGCTGATCCGCGCCCGCGCGGAGCCTCATTGGAAAGTTCTAGAGCTTCTGCAGTAGCAAAAAACACATTAGAATAAGGCCCTCCCCCCTCATATAAGTACCTTGGCGCCTAAGCTCCCCTTTCAGTTGTGTCAGCTGCCGCTAAATTAAGCGGAATGACGTGATAGTGGGGAGGACGGGTGGGATGTGTGAATCACAGAGGTCCACTCGAATAACTACAATTATAGGTGGGTAATCTGTCGTTCTTCTTCGTGGCCTCTGCGAATCACACCCTGGGTGACTAAAAAGCTGGCTTACCCGCCCCCCTCGTATAAGTACCTTGGTGCCTAGGCTCCTTTCAGTTTTGTCAGCTGCCGCTAAATTAAGCGGAATGACGTGACAGTGGGGAGGACAGGTGGGATGTGTGAATTACAGAGGTCCACTCGAATAACTACAATTATAGGTGGGTAATCTGTCGTTCTTCTTCGTGGCCTCTGCGAATCACACCCTGGGTGACTAAAAAGCTGGCTTACCCGAGGCAGGGTGTCACGCCAAGGTAGAGGCTAGAACAGCATGTCCAAAGGCCACATCAGGCTTTTGCCGGAGATAAAGTCTATAATTCTGGATGAAAGTGGACAGCTGTGCCCAGGTGGCGGAGGCGCAGACGTCTGGAAGAGGTACACCCCATAGGAATGCCGTAGAGGTTGCCACTGCTCTGGTGGAAGGAGGGCAAATCACCTTCGGGACTGCATGCCAGCTGATACGCAAGGTGAGGTGGAGGCGCAGATGTCTGGAAGAGGTACACCCCATAGGAATGCCGTAGAGTTTGCCACTGCTCTGGTGGAAGGAGGGCAAATCACCTTCGGGACTGCATGCCAGCTGATACGCAAGGTGAATGAATGGTTGAAGTGACCCATCTAGATATAGTTTGAGACGTCACCTGGCGACCTTTAGTAGCTGGTTGGTGACTTATGAAAAGTCGAGGTGAACGCCTGAAAGGTTGGATGTGTTGGACGTAAAAGGCAAGGGCTTGCCTAACATCTAAAGTATGGAGGATTCTTTCTTGAGTTATGGACAGTGACGGGAAGAAGGAAGGAAGGATAAACGCCTGAGAGAGATAGAACTGAGATATGGCTTTGGGGATGAAAGAAATGTCCATGGATAGTTTGACTTTGTCTGGAAAAAACTGTAAGGATAGTCGGGACGTAAGGCTGCTAAATTACGAGCTCGTTGAGCTGAGGTGATGGCGACGAGGAAAATTTTTAAAGGTGAGAAGCCGTAAATCAGTTGAAATTAAAGGTTCGGTTATTTGCTTTCATCGTGTGCCACAACAGGCCTAATTTCATACATCCTGCTTCATTTATTGTCCGTAATTCTAACCATTCTTTATCTTTTCTACTACCTCTGGGTACTGGAAAAAGTTAATATCCATTCTCCGTCTTTTAGAGTTTTTATAATCTTTTTCAATCTCAATCTCCATTGACATCAAAGTATGATCTGTTATTTTTATAGAATTAATCTCAGTAGTAACTATCTTAGGAATTAAATCTTGAGATGTGAATATGAAATCTGTTTTGGAATAACTATTATATACTGCTGAAAAATAAGCATATCTTCTTTCATCACCTTTCATTACCCTCCAAATATCTTTCAAGTGGTTATTTTTTACCTTCTTGCTCAATACTGCATTTCTTTGGAGAACATCATTGCAATCATAAAAAGTTTTATCCTTTATCATAACCATATTGAAATCTCCTGCCATAATAACATAACCCTTCTTTACCTTCTCCATTTCTTAATAACCATGCCATAAAAATCTTCTTGTTTATTATTAGGTGCGTAAACATTAAACATCCTTCCAAACCCATTTTACCCTGTATTATTATAAATCTCCTTGGGACGTGGTGGCGCTGCGGGCTAAACCACAGAAGCCTGTGCTGCAGGGTCAGAAGACCAAGCAGTCGTAAGATCGAATCCACGTGACGGAGTGAGCGCCCATTGCTTGTCCCAGCTCCCACCAACCTAGTGGTTCGAAAGCACGCAAATGCAAGTAGATAAATAGGGACCACCTCGGTGGGAAGGTAACAGCGTTCCGTGTCTAAGTCACACTGGCCATGTGCCCATGGAAGATTGTCTTCGGACAAACGCTGGCTCTATGGCTTGGAAACGGGGATGAGCACTGCCCCCTAGAGTCGAACACGACTGGACAAAAATTGTCAAGGGGAACCTTTACCTTTACCTTATTATAAATCTACCATTACAATCTTTTACTACCTGTTTCACTGTAAATTCACAATTTTTAAAAATTATGACTGCCACACCTCTAGATTGACGTTCCAAAGTTTTTTCATAAATGTCTATACTGTATTATTCATCTTACGTTCATTGACTCTATTTTTTGATAGATGAGTCACTTGCAAAAAGGCAATGTCCACCTTATTTTTCTTCATACATACATACATACATACATACATACATACATACATACATACATACATACATACATACATACATACATACATACATACATACATATTTTATTGTTACGGCATTGAGCCATACAAAATTGAATACAAAACTTCAAAGACTGGCATGCACTGCAAAGAGCCATACCAGACATAGAAAAAGTAAAATATCTAAAACAGCAAATATAGCAATGTAAGACCAAGGTCTAAGGGTTTAGCTGTCTATTCTGGCTGCTATAGCATGCCGCCCAAAATTTCGCTACCATTTCTGTAGTAGTCTGATTTTGGTTGATTAACAATTGATTACAGTAGTCCGAATCTGATTGACTTTTTACTATTGATCCCAGACCTTTCACATTTAAAGTGCCTAGTCTTATTCCCTTGCCCATTTCAGTTCAAATTCTGTCCTCCTAACAGGCCTCATGTGCAACCCATTTCCCCAACAAACGAACAAAAACATTAAAAATTAAACTCAACATAACCCAAACATATAATGCTTTGCCCCAACAACCCACTGAACATTTATCTTTTTTCCCACCCCACCATATTCCCCCACTATAACTACTAGCGAGGGCACAAGGTGGGGGGGAGGGCGCCACCCCTCTCTAGCAGAATGGCAACTAGAACCTCGTCTCTGCTTTTTATCAATTTTTCACATTTCTTCTTAATATTTGATAACACTGAAGCCCCCTTCGCCACCCCCTCTTCCCTGTAATTATAAACAAACAACTAAATCTAGAATTATTAATAAATTTTGTTTTATTACTGCTGTTGCTATTATTAATGCTGTTGCTATTATTAATGTAGTTAGTATAGTTAATACTAAAAACTAGAAATAAAGTAAAAAATCGATATAAATGAATGAAGGAAAGAGAGAAGAAAAGTAAAAGTAAAAAAATTTAAAAGATTTAGAAGGGGGGAGACAACAAGTGGTCCATCTTCTAACCCTTCAGGAATCTGGTCCTTTCTGCTTCAACTTTCTGTTTTTTTCTGCTTGAAGTCGGAGTTAATTCCTGACCTCCATCTTCCTCCTGCCAGTTTCTACGGCTTCAACAGGTCTTTACTTTCTTCACATGAGTAGATTTTAAACAGAACCTGATCTTTCCAAATTTTCAAAAAAACCAGGATGACCTCGTTGATATATGAGATTATTTTTGATTAATACTGCTGTAACAGGCTTCATAGATTTTCTCCAATTTAAAGAGTCACTGCTTAAATCTTGGAAAATCTGCAGTTTAGTGCCTCTGTAGACCAGCTGGTCTTGTTTTTGTTTAATTTCTCTCACAAATTGTTCTTTCTTTGTATAATTAAGACACTTCACCACCACTAGTCTTATCCTTGGGCTTTTGGGATTACCAACAAAATGAGCTCTTTCTATGTCCTGTTCATCCAAGTGTTGTGTGCCCATTATGGAGTTAACCCACATTATAATCTCTTTTTTTGAGGTCTTGTCCATGTCGCAATTAAAAATTCCTTATTTTAATGTTCGACCTTCTGGAATTGTCTTCCAGATAAATCAGCTTTTTGTTTGTTTTGCT